TTTTTCACCATGAAACGTCATATATGAGGCATTTTACGTGAAATGTCCTAAGTTGAAATTTCAACTTGTTGAAAAAAATTGAAACTGGGGGAATTTGTTGTTCCATCAAGTAGAAATGTGACCCAAAAAACATTTTTGACTTAATCTAGGATCATTGAACACTATAGTGTGTGAATAATGATATAAAAGAATTTATTTGATAATTTACATAAGAAATTGCATTTATTTTCCCCTAAGAAGTTCACGACCCAACGTTGGGTCGCAAACAGTCTGGGCCATCTTTTTTCACGACCCAACGTTGGGTCGCGAACAGGCAACGGGTTAAAACTTAATTTATTTATTCTTTAATATAAGGGTAGATAAAAAACTTACAAATAATTGCCAAAGGTATAAAATTGACAATAAAATGTATCTAATTATTATTAAGCCTATCAATTTTATACCAAATAAATCAAAATTAAGTTAAAATTTTTATCATTTTGCATTATGAAGTTAAATGTGTATTTTACTATAACAATAAATTACTGTTATTTATTAATATTGTAATAATTAAGTAAATATCGCAAATAATAACTTATTGACATTTAACTTTTTAAAATTATTTTCCAGTAATTATTATTTTTAACTTTATATATATACTCAGTGTCGAAAGGTATATTTGTATGAAAGACAAATATATTTATTAGAAAAATTATTTGTAATTTTTATTTAATTTGTTTTAAACAAACAAATTATTACAATTACAAATAAAAATTATTACTAATACTTTTTATTTAAACCAAAGAAAATGTTTTTTCAGATTAAAAAACTAGACAATTTGTGCAACTACAAAATATGTTTAGTGTAGTCGCAAAAAAGTATATAGTTCGTGTTATCCCGAGTCGAACTTTTAGACCTGCTTACCTCCTGGTAAGTATAATTTAACCCTAACCTGCACCTAACAAACCCTTGGTGTTTTTTTCCTCCTGCGTAAGATCTATTTAACTCTGACAACTCCTTTTTAAGTCCTAATTGAACCTTAAACCCTGTATTGCTTCTACCACATTCTTACGCAATAGGAAATGTTACGCGCGGTACAAGATATTCAACTTATTATTGTTTTGCAAATTACAAAATTTTTTATTTTGAAAATTTCACGAAAGAATTCAATTATTTTCTAAAATTTTAATAAATCCTTCGAAAAAATTCAATTATTTTTATAAATAGTAAAATTCTTCCGAAGAATTCAATTAATTTTATAAATAGTAAAATTCTTTGCAGGAATTCAATTATTTTCAAAACAATTTTAATTGAATTCCTTAGATGAATTCAAATATTTTTAAATATTTTCATAAATTGCAATTATTTTCTTAAACTTTAATAAATTCTTCAAAATAATTCAACTATTTTTATAAATACTAAAACTCTTTGCAAGAATTAAATAATTATTAACCCAATTAAAATAAAATTAAACGAAAGAATTTAATTATTTTCAAAAATTCCCATAAAATTTAGTTTCAACAAGAATTTAAAATTCTTGAAAAACAATTTAATTATTCTCAAAATATTTTTAAAAAATTCTATATAAGAATTAAATTACTAGCTTAATACAATTTTTGAATATATTCGTCAAAAGAATTGAAATAATTCTATTATTTTCGAAAAGTAATTAAAATTCTTATGATGAATTCAATTTTATTGAATATACTTAATTTTATAATAAAATTCTTTAAAGAAATTCAATTATTTTCGAAACAACTTTAATTGAATTTTTCGAAAAAATTTCATGATTTTTAAATATTTCTATAAAATTCTTCATAAACAATTTAATTATTTCTTAAAATTTTAATAAATTCTTCGCAAGAAATCACTTATTTTCAATACAATTTTAATAAAATTCTTCTTCATAAGATTCAATTGCTTTCGAAATTTTCAATTAAAATTATTAAAGAAACTCCATTTGTTTAAAAAAAATTCAAAGAAATTTTTCAAAAAAATTTAATTAGGATTTTTAAAAATATTAATAAAATTCTTTGCGAGAATTTAGTTATTTTTCTAAATAAAGAAATTCTTTGAAGGAATTCTATTATTATCAAATTTTTGATAAAATTCTTTGCAACAATTCGAAGATTTTCAATACATTAATTTTAAAATTGAAAATATTTGAAAAGAAAAATTAAAAAAAGATTAATAAACCAAAATGTAAACAACAATTAACTTCAAACTGCGAATAGGTTACCGAAACATGTACTTTTTTATTATTAATTTATAAATATTATTTTTAACTGAAATGTTTTGACATTTTTTTTAAATAATAAAAATATTAATTTATGAATGTTTAAAGGTTATTATTATTAAACAATTTATTTATTTGCTGTAGTGTATTAGTGTCAATTAATGCTTTATTGAATCATTCAACAAGTCACTGAAAATAGAGCGTCTGTGTTCAGTTAGGTTCCGTAGCATAGTGGTTAGGGCGTTAGTTTCGTAGTCCGTAGTTCGTAGGTCGTAGGTTCAAGTCTCATCGCGTGCGTTAGATTTTATTTATTTCGTAGGTTTGCGTTTATTCCGATTTTTCTGTATTGTATAGGTATAAGTATGCAATTTAATGATTATATACACCGCTAAATAATTTAATTAACAAATATTAAATTAAAATTTTTTTTTTATATTAATGGATATGTATTAATCCCCACATATATACTAACATTATTTATGAATTCGCTATTGGTCACGATTAAATTGAAAAAAAAGTAAAAATCATTAAATAATAATGCCATTTATTAATAATTAAAGTTATTATAAAAATTAGTTAAAAATGATCTCAAATATGCTATGAGCAGTTTTTTCAGGGTTTTTGGAGAGGAAAGAATTCTGTAAGTAAGGGTCAAGCAGTATTTAATAAGGTTCTAGGAACACCTGCTTTCCCCCTTTTACCATCTAAATTTGTCGCTAACCAGGGGTTTGCAGGAGGTAATCAGAGTTAACTTGCAATGCAAATAAACTCTGCTTTCATCCTATTACATCCTTACAAACCCTCAGTTTTAAGGAGGTAAGCAGGTCTAAAAGTTCGACTCGGGATGCTACAAATATACTCAATTTTTCTTTCCGTGTCTGAAAAAGTAAAAATATATTTCATTAAAATTTTAAATTGAAAAAATTTTTAACTCAATTTTTAACTTTATTAATTAGGTAATTAATAATTAATTTAACTTAATTAATTTAGTTAGAAACTCAAGCCATCAGGTTAGCAACGTAACTAATATTAAATAGGTAGACCAACAAAAAAAGTAGTTGAATCAACTAATAAAATAGCTAAGTTTACTAATAAAAATGGTAACACCAACCAATAAGTTAGCAGCAGCATAGTTTATTAACTAAAAATAATCTTGGAAAAAATGTTCACCACAACTATTCTTTTTCTCAGTGTAACATTTCAAACAAAATTAATAATTACACTCGTAAAATATTCTTAGTATGATTGTTTAATAGTAAGTTTAAATAAATTTAACAATTAAGAGAAAAAATAAAATATCTAATTAAATAGATTTAAAAATTGGTGATATTCAAAAAATTGTCTCAGAGCCTACACAAGATTTTGTAGCAGACAGCACAATTTCTCCGTTTTGTCTATTCACAAATTTGACGTTGTAGGTTAAACAGAACATTTTTTTCCGTACAGACTCTGAAATCTAAATATAGGGGAGACTAGGTGCGGTTGTTACGCTGTGCAGTTGTTACAAATGGAATATCTCAGAAACAGTTACTTATAGAGATGGGGTTCCAAAGAGAAAAATGTTTAGTTTTTATGTTCGAACTTGCTGCAATATGTTTAAAAATTATATGCAAGCTTTACAAGTAACAAATAGGCACATTGGTTTTTAGAGGCCAAAAGTAAATATTTCTCTGCTTGGTATTTTTTAAATAACTAATAGATCTTTATAATTAACAAAATAAATTTTTTAATATTAATTCTATGAGGATTCAGGTTTAAAAAACTGCCTTGGTTGTCCACATTTAGTGTATACTTTTTTAATAAAGTGTTTTATTGTAAAAAATGTACCTGTTGTGCAGTTGTTACAAGTGATGATGAAAACGGATATTTTTTTAAAAATTTGAAACAATATTAGTGCTGCCATCTCTATGACACTGTCACGCACTATTACGTTGAGTCAAAAATTATGAATAATTAATAAAAGTTGTTATAAGAAATTATTTGCCTTAAATTTAGAAATGTTATAGATAATTCTTGGTATTGTAACAACCGACATTCACTTTGTGCAGTTGTTACAATTTACACTCTGTCGCTCAAATGCTTCTGTTAATTAAATAATAGATATAGAGTTAAATCAATTATGGCCTTCTAAAACTAGATAATATACCTTTGATTTAATTGTATGACCAAACAAATTGGTGGGTTAGAAAAACTTTTTTAATCAATGGTAGAAATTCATTTCAAAAACTTTTATTTATTAAATTTTAATAAATTGAATTAATTTTTAATCCTGTTTAAAATGACTCTTTGTGTCATCGAAAGACAAAATAGAATTAATATGTAAGCAAAAAAGGATAATTTTTAACATAACTTTGGAGTAAACTTCGCTGCAACAAATTTTCTCCTATAGGTAAAAGGTACCAGCAACAAAAATTATACCACCTTTTTTCTGTGTAGATTAATTAAATTATATAATCATTGTAAAGGAATAAATTTTTAATTGGAATAATATTGTTTCTAAAATAAAATACATTTTCGTGTTAAATGTATTTCTTGTAAAAATTATGTTTGAAAAAAGTATATTTATTAAGAGTGAATAAATAAATAAGTGGAGAAAATTGACTCTCTATGCATCAAGAGATTTAAACTTCATTGTAAAAGATGATTGAATTTTATAAATTTTCAAGCTTCATCCACACAAAACTTGAAAAGCACTGTAAACATATATATCGAAATAAGAAAAGTAATATTGGAATTATCTTCGCATGGGGAATAGCCCCTGGGCGGGTTTCTTAGTCATCAATTGCGCTCACAAGTTGCACAGCGATGCTTTGTAAGCAAAATACGAGAAATGAAGTAAAGGAACATTGTCAATTTCTGCTACAGCCCTCGAGCTGCCTAAGCGACAAGGAGGAAGATGAAATCTATGGCTTTGGCTATGGGGTCTTTGGTCGTCAGATGTTGCAACACAGGCAACAAAAACTCGCCCTCTCAACCCAAAATAGTACCTCGACAACTGCAGCACATCAACCTACATATCAGAGGTAAGTTCTTCATTTAGTTCTGTTAACGGTAATTATTATATAAACAAATTTATAGATTGACAATGGGTTTTCTCATTTCTGAAGTAACAGCCAATATGGATGTGGAAGATTTGGAAAATTATATTTTAAAAAAATTCCCTTTAAAGTTTTATTTTATTTTAGATATATACATTAATGATATTTTACATTGTGCGCCACCAATAAAATTCCAACAATTTTAAATACTTAAATTAAAAGGAAATTATCAATCTTTCAAGTCAATTTGACTTTATTTATTTATTTTACTTGGAAGATTGATAATTTCCTTTTAATTTAATTATATAATTTTTACCAATTGATGGAATTACCTCTCAATCATACAATTAGTTTTCTTAATCTCTCTTTAATAATAGAAAGCAATCATCTATTAAAAAATTGGTTTCTCAAAAAACTTGGTCTGAAAGATACATTAACTTTGCATCTCTTCATCCATTTTCTCAAAAAGGAGGAGTCATTTATTCTTTAGTCGATAGAGTAATTAAATTATCACATTCTTGTTATCATTTAGAAAATTTTAATTTTGTTGGAAAATGGATGTCTTGCTTTACTTTTAGGTAAAAAAAATTCAGTAGCCGATACAATAAAATTTTAAATGCCTTAAAAAAATGTAGTAAATTCAATGATAATGAACATAGCAATATTTTTGTTTTTCCATACATACAAAATATGGTTGTGTTTCAAATCAAAATTTTAAACGAACTAGGGTAGTGGCACTAATGAAAGAACATTTAAGGAAATGTATACTTTCGATATTTTTTACTTTTTATTGGAATTCTTGAATTTTGTTGTAAATATATGCATTGAATAGCAAAATTCCTATAGAATTTGAAACTTATGATAAAAATTTATAAATATACCATAAATTAAAAATTTTAATCTAATATTGAAAAAAGTCTATTTTACCAGTAAAAGAACAGTTGTATTTTCCAGTGAAAGAACATAGCAAAGGGCATAGCAGGATAAGTATGTGAGGAATTTCACGTCAGAAATATCACGATTTGCGAAGGGTAGGCCGATTTTCGCAAAACTTCGTGGGAATCTAGTTCTATATAAGATACTTCTTTCCCCTAAATTTAAAAAAAAAAAATTTAAAATTGTTGAAGATACGCCATTTTGAATTTGAATATTAATTTTATAAAATTTTGAATATCTCGGAATATTATTTATGAATTTTTATGAAATTTACACATTTTTCAGGTAAAGTATGTACTTTAAAATGCAAATAAAGTTAATAAAAAAAATTAATTTTTAAATAAAAAAATAAAAATTTTTTTTTTTTTAATTTCTTTATTTATTTACTCCTCTCTGAGAAAAATGTTATTAACATATTTAGATTCCTTATGAATTCACCTTTAATTTCATAAAAAAAATTGATGGAAACTCAATTGGTTCCGGAGATATTAAAGTTTTTGTAAAAAAGCGTCACCGCGCCATAGCACCATACTGCACAAGTCGCGTAGCACGTTTTACCGTATAGTCGTACATTGCTGCTGCAACTAAGGTAAAAGCACTAGTACTGGGACATTGGAAAAAATGGAATCAATAGATGGACAGTAATAAAAAAAATTAAAATTGCTTCCAATATAAATGAAAATAGTTATTTATGATACAAGTGCGCAAAATCGTTGATTATACACAAGTCACACAAGTATAATCTGATTTACGCACGAGTGCCATACAAAATTTTTGCAACACTAAAACAACTAAACTTGCAGCAATATTGCCAATATTACTGTAAGTTAAGGTGTAGTTGGGGAACTGTTAAATAAAGTTTTCTAGAAGCTACAATAAAACAATGTGATTATAAATTGTTAATTAAAAGCTTTATTTTATTGTTTCTCATCAAACAGTCACAAAAATGCGTAAAGTAACCATTTTACGCACTGAAAATCATTTTACGCCCTGAAAATCACTTTACACACTGGAATTCACTTTACACACTGCTAGCGGTGTGTAAAGTAATACTTTACACACCGCTATAAAAAAGTACTTTACACACAGTTTTCTGTGTGTAAAATTCAATTTTACAGGTTGGTGTTGCAAAAAATAATATATGCCCTTTCTGAATGTATATAATTTTAATTTTAATAATAATTTTAATTTTGTATATAATTCAAGTTTTTAAAACCGACAGATTAGCTCAGTCGGATAGATGCCTCGCTTGGCGGACGTTTTAGAACCAAGGGTACTTGGTTCGCGCCCATTTGGCTTGGTATTTTTCCGGCACGTGAGATAATCTGAGCGGGAGGTCTGACGTCGAGGTATAATGATGTGCACCGTCGATTATTGTCCGGTACACACCATTAGAACTCGACTGTCGATAAACCGGTTGTACTCAGGAGAGGTTTTCTACAGTTTCCCTCTTCTCTGGCGAGAAAACCCATTGACGGGTGGTCCAGGCGAAATGCGAGTACTCCTAATTTTAAGCCGTTCTGTAGACGCAAAACTTAGTATTAAGTTTAATAATAAGGAAATTAGTAAAGAATATTACGAAAAATGTAAAAACACTTGTATTGCCAAGTATGTAAGGCTGAAGACAGGTGTATAAACCAATAAATAAAATATAATTCATGTTTTCAATTTCTAAGCCAAAGATTTATCAAAAAAACATTATATGTCACGAACTACTTAAAATCGAGTCTCCAACTTTACCTTCTGCTCTTTAACCTTGAGCATTAGCAGCACTAGTAGTTGGACAACAACTTTACTGTCATTAATCTAATTAAATAATGAATTAATTAATATAAAATGACTAACTAATAAATTTAATACTTGACAATATTAACGAATATATAAATACAAATATAAATAAATATTATGCGTATTTCCTTATATGTCCAACTATTGCTCCTTATATGTCCAACTGCTGGACCCCCTAAAATGGAATGTCCAACTATTACGGTAAAAAAGCAATTATTTATTTTCTAGATTTATATTTAATTAAAATAAAAATTTAGACTAATTTCTTTTAATTTGAATTCAACGACCCCAAAAACCCTTGTATTCTAAGTTTCATAAAAATTCATCCACCAGATTTTGCTGGATATTAAAGGCCATTTATATGAATATTTTGTCAAATAGGGAAGGGGTTAATATTAAAATTCAAAATGGCGTATCTTCAACAATTCTTAATTTTTTTTGAAAAAATTTGTGGGAAAGAAGTCTCTTATATTATAGAAATATAATCCCACTAAGTTTTGCGAAAATCGGCATACCCTTTCCAAATTGTGATATTTCTGACGTGAAATGCCTCATGTGTTAGGTGCCCCCGCTCGGATTTTCTTGAAATTTTTAGATACAGTAGGTATTAATTGGAGTAGTAATTTCCTGAAGTACTATTGCATAAAAATAATTTTTATGTGAGTTATGAGGGTAAGAAGAAAAATAAAAAAACATGATTTTCTCGAAAACGGCTGAACCGATTTTGATGAAATTTTAATATGTTATGGCTTTTGTAAAAGCCATTTGAAAAAAAATTCTGAAATTATTTTTTTAGAAAATAAAGGTAAAAAAGTTTTTTTAGATTTTTTTTGGCAAAATTTTTTAAGTACTACCGCTATTTTTTTCTAAATAATCCTTATATGTCTACAATTATTAACCGAAGTGCCAAAAAAATTGAAAGGGTAGAACACAGTCAAAATTAAAAAAGATTGCGAGTATGCACTCATAACCTTGTATAACGCAGCCCCCCAAAAAAAAATTTTCTGTCCTGGACCAAAACGGACACCAGATTCGTGTTCAGCAGCCCAAAATACATGAGGGTAGGGTACTCTGATTTCTCAACCCCGATAATTTTCTTTTTGTGGGGCTGTGTTTTACAAGGTTATAAGTGCATGCTCGCAATCATTATTAATTTTGACCGTGTTCTACTCTTTCAATTTTTTTGGCACTTCGATTAATAATTCTTTCACTGGTGCAACTACCCTAATTCCACTTTAATTTTTTTATAGATAAAACTTTATAAACAAGTTGTGAATCCAGATGTTCATTACATAAACATTTTGCTTCCTCTTTTACGATCAGCAAAAAATTTGCTTCCTCGTGGAGAAGCATTAACGACAAGTATATTTAATTTTTAAATAATTTTAATACAATTTAACATTTATAAAATCAAGTTTATTTGTCTTAATGGAAAGAATAAAATTTTATTATGATTTTTATTTTTTTAGTATGATTCTAAAGAAACAAAAAATTGTTAGCAAAAAGTAAATTTTTCAACTTTAATTGTAATTAGTTTTATAATTTCCAATACAATAATATATCAATCAATTCGTCTTGATGCAAAGAATAAGATTTTTAATTTGTTTTCAAGTAAAGAATAATATTTTATTCACAGCAACATAATTTTAAAGAAAAAAAATGAATTTTTAATAAAAGTACGAATTTTTCGGCTTTCATTGTGATTAACTCTATAAATTTTCATGGAATTTATACTTTATATAGAGCAATCGATTCGTCTTGATGCAAAGGATAATATTTTATTATACATATGTTAACTTCAATATTCGACTTAAAAAAATTTTTTCTGAGGATTTTTCAAAGTCTATTAATCTATTTCGAGATATTTTTATGATAAATATACCTTGCAATTTTTAGCCAAATTCGTTGAAAGCTCTTCGAGTTATCGCGTGTTCACAAAAAACGGGATCCACACACACTCTCACATACATAAATCCGGACAATTGTTCAGGGTCTTATATAACAAGTTCAGGTCCTATATAGAAGAATAGTATATTAAGCAACAAGGGTATAAAGGCAGCCATGTGTTTACGGTGATTTTTGTGACACGAGTGGAGGTCTCGGGGCGCCCTCGACCTCCACTCGTGTCACAAATTGGCTGCCTTTATTCCCGTGTTACTTACGATATTTTTTATTCCTAATGCACAAAAGTGGCGATTTCAGATAGCAGACGACAGGGAGTAAAAGTCATTCACTTGTTCGACTTATATGAAAATGGCGGC